GCAGGAATGTTGTGGAGCAGGGGTCAACTGTTTAGTTTACATACTGTCTACAGCTGCTTTCACACTATAATGGCACAGTTAAGTAGTTGTGAAAGAAATCTGACAGACCGCAATGCCTAAATTATTTACTGTCTGACCAAAAAAAGTTTGCTGGCCCCTGCTGTGGACAGTAAAGGAGATAATGTACAGGAAGTGTGTACCGAACATTAACGTTCAACAAACTTTAGTTCTCTTCGGTGATCTCAAAGTAAAAGGTTAAAGAAAAACTTTTGATTATTTTAACATAAGATATATTCATTTCAAAAAGACATCACAAAAACATGCCTCACCATATCAGTGTCAATGGAAACTCTGAGGCCAATTTTATTTATCCCATTACTCTTTAGAGTTTTCAGGTGAGGGCACAGTGCAGCATTACAAGCCATGGCTATTTCTTTTGCAAACTGATAACGAGTTGCTGAAATAGATAAATCCTGGTCCTTTAGAAAGTAGAACACCTGAAATGTATTTAATTAGGAAACAAGTCATGATTAAGATTAAAAGTAGCTTTAAAAATGCAACAATTGCTACCTTCAATTCAACTTTATGAATAAAATTCCAATGTTAGTGCCATGAAATTCACTAGTTAGGAACATTATATATATAGTGTATATATATATATATACACACTATATATATAATGTTCCTAACTAGTGAATTTCATGGCACTAGTGAACTATATATATATATATATATATATATATATATATATATATACTACATATAGCCTGATCTGTAGTATAAGTAAAAACTTAAAACCAAAGATTAGGGAATATGGGAATGACTTAGCTATTTTTGCCTAAAGTTAATTTGTAGCAACAAAAGCTTTGTTAACTCAGTTTAAAGAAGGGTACTAATGAGCCCACCCTATAAGATCACCATCCCATAAGGACATCTTAATGAAGTTAAGATCAAACAAAGAAATAATGTTCTATAATTTCTATACCCTCTATAGTTTCTATCTTCTACATGTGTAAAATCACAAAGTATACCTCAGAAATCAGTAACATTGACTGTCTGACCCAGGAGGTAGAGTGAGGGGGAGAATGGAGGTAGACTAAGGGGCTGTGAGGCTACAGTTTCATATTCTCTTATTTTTAAAAAACTGGAACATGCAAAACTAACTTTCATATGTGAGTGCTGATTATAAACTGATATCTATAAAATATTTTATTTTTTGTAAAATAAGAGAAAAATGAAAACACCACAGTCAAATAACATGTTATTGTACAAACAAAGATGGCAATGCCGTGAAAACTTAACTGTGAGCTGACAGGCAGTACCACCATACAATAACCTGAAATGATGCTATGGAAATGCAAATCTGGTGTATATAAGGCAGTCCGGGGTGGAGATATGTGTGTCTCAAGGTGTAATGAAAGTGTAATACGCTGCACTTAAACATTCAGAGGTTGAGTACTGCGAAATATCCAAATTAACAAAAACATATCCAAACACATCATGTAAATGGAAGGAAATGTCTTTCTAAGTTACCTCAGTACACTTTACAATCTTCTCATCAGTTTCAAAATCTGCTTCCAGTTTTATTTTTTCACTTGGAAATCCTTGTAATGATATTCCATCCACTGAACTAATAACACTGTAGAATAAAATATAATAGAACAGATTTATTTAATACCAAAGTACTTTCTATGAAGTAAATTATTAGACTTGAACAAATGGAATAAGGATAAAAATTATGAAAGCTATAAATTTAAAGCAGCAGTAAGACATCTCAATTATAAAAAAATAATTAGAACTTAGCTCATATTCATTTACCAAGATTTCTTGATTGTGTAGCAAATTATATCTACTTTTTCATATGCCCAATTCAGACCTGAGGTTTAAAATACCTTAGTCTCCTAACAGAAAAGCTGTCTCATGAATTGCACAACTCTACTTTGGAATCCTTCAGCATTAGCCCTTCTCTTCCTTTTTTGCTCCAGATCCCTTAGCCAGTCTCCAAAAAAGAAAGAAAATGGGTAACTAAAGAGAGGAGGGAATTGCAGTAATATTCTGTAAGGCCTCTAATGTACATATTATTGAATTCAGTTGTTTGCATTTACAGTGGATCAATATAATACAGAATAAACACCCAAAGGGAATCCATTACTTATTTGATAAAAATAATCCTAAGATAATTCCATGAAAATACATATCTGGTATATAAAAGGCAGTCTGGGGGGCAAATATGTGTGTGCCTCAATGTACCATATAACAGACAAAGTATCTTGTCTTTCTCAGACCTGGCATCAAGCCTACACTGCTACACAATGCACATTTTATCATTTGCTCCCTCCCAAACTGACCACCCTTTAATAATTTACAGCATCCTGGCTAAGAAAACACACATGATGCTGGTTAGGTACATTTTTGAAAAAACCAGACTGCATTTATTAATTAGAGTATATGCATTTAAATTAATGGTATAATTCTGTATTTATTTATAAAATATTTAAATTTGTTAACAGGATGTTTTTATCCTTTCTCCTCCATCAATTCAATTACATTTTGGTAACAAAAAATTCCTACCCTTTGTTTCCTTTTTCTTCAGAATCTACCCAGCAGATGTCCACATATTCTCTCATGTCTACAGCATCAACTTTCCCACATGTAATTTTAAAGTCTTTTTGTTCTCGTAGAGCTAGCCGTAAGCCATCCATGGTCTCTGGAGTTATTTGTACCATTAAGCCATCTAAAAATGAGAGTTATGTTTCACATTTCTTTTACTGAATATAAATTTATATGTCTAAGCCATAAATTTTGCTATCAAAATATGTTCCGTGCAAGTTTTAGACCATCTATTAAATCATCTTGATGGTTGTTTTCTGTTAGGGAATATGAAAAATATTTCACAATGTTAAGGATTCTTTTTTTTTTTAATGGTTAAACAAATAAAGGTGAGAACTTCCACTTCTGGCTATGATGAAATAATGATGCCAAACTGCCCTTTCTTTATGGTAACCAACCATAAGACTAGACAAAATGTATGAGGCAATTGTTTTCAGGTTCTGGACAACAGGAAGTACAATACCATGGTCCCTACAGGAAAACTCAATAGGTGAGCCCATAACTGCCCAGGCTGTCTGCTTGGGGACAATTTCTGCATGGTGACCAGTAAGCCTACAATTGCTCTACTGGGCTGAGAAGTCAGAGATAAGACTTTAGGGAAACCTGAAGTCTGTGCTCAAGACACTAAAAAGGGGAGCATCAGGAGACTGTGTTCAAGGACTTTTTGAGTCCTTGGACCAGAAATGAGAACACATTAATAGAGTGACCCTAGATGAGGCATAACAGAAAATGGCTATTATATGGTTGGGAACAGAACAGAGATAATAGAAGTCAAGCAATGTCGGGGGATATTGGTAGTCTAGACCAACCAAAATAGACATTAGCACCTTATTAACCTGAACTGTGCAATGCCAAATCAAAGCTCTTACAAAATCTACAGGCAAAACAGATTTGGAGAATGAGTCCTGCCAGACTGTAAACACCTTAGGATATCCATAGATCCAATCTGTTAAAAAAAATAAAGACTATACAAGCTCAGGGTAAGCAGACATAAAATGCCTGCTTAAACATAAATAAGCCTTCTTCAGCAAAAAAAATTCCTTTAAAGAAAGCTAAAAGAATCTAAAGTCTCTAAAGCATATCAATAATGACAGTACATAATAAAAAATTACCAAAGACAGGAAAATGTGAGCCCCTATAAAACTGAAACTAACCATGAGATGGCCAAGACATTAGATTAAACACAAAAACACTTTAAAATATCTATTCTAAAATATACTCAAGGACCTAAAGGAAAACACATTTAAAGAATGAAAAGCAAATACTGGCTAAATGTATAAACAGGTTTTTAAAAATCTGAACAGAGAAATAGAAACTGGAAACCCCCCCCAAATTCTATAACTGAAAAGTATAATCCAACTAAAATAGAAACCTTAATGGATAGGCTTAATAGTAGATTGAAGATGGCAAAAGAATCAGAGAACATAAAGAAAGGTCAACAAAAGTGATCAAATCTGAAGAGCCCAGAGAAAAATGAAGAAATATAAAAAGAGCATCAAAGATCCATGGAATGGTATAAAACAGTCTAATACAGATATGGATTACATATACATAGATAGACTATCTCCCAGAAGGAGAAGAAAGATCAGGACATTTTAAAAAATGGTAAGAAATTCCCCAAATCTGATGAAAAATATTGACACACACATCCAAGGAGTTCAATAAATGCCAAATAGGATAAATACAAAGAAAACCACATTGAGGCACACCACAGTAAAACTGGTGAAAACCAAAGATAAAGAGGCTATCTAGAAAACAGACTGAGGTAAAGGGCACATTAAATACAAGGAAACAAGTACAAAAACTATTACTGACTCTTCACTAGAAGTAATGAGGGCCAAAAGACAATGAAATGACATCTTTAAAGAAAATAAAGACTTTCAAAGCAGAATTTTATATCTAGCAAAAGTACCCATAAAAAATGAGAATGAAATAAAGACAGCTTCAGAAAAATGAAAAGCAAGACAACATTAGATAAATGAAAGCCAGCCAACTTGTATTACAAAAAATACTAATGACTTCTTGGTGTCTGCTCCATGTAAAGAGCTTGGAACTTGTCACTTCCATCCTCACAACAAGAAAAAAGCTGAACAATAAAATACCTAGGAATAAACCTAACTTCTATTCAACATAGTACTGGAAGTCCTAGCCACAGCAATCATACAAGGAAAAGAAGAAAAGGTATCGAAATTGGAAGGAAAGAGGTAAAATTGTCATTATATGCAGATGACATGATACTCTATATAGAAAACTCTAAAGACTCCACACAAAAACTATGAGAACTGATAAATGAATTCAGCAAGGTAGCAGGCTACAATATTTACAGAAATATTTTGCATTACTTTAAACAAACAAATATCAGAATTTAAAAAAAAAAAAAAAAAAAAAAAAAAAAAAAAAAAAAAAAAAAAAAAACCCTTTAAAAATTGTATAAGAAAAATACCTAGGAATAAACCTGACCAAGGAGGTGAAAGACTTACAAGGTGAGAGCTATAAAACATTGATAAAGGAAACTGAAGATAATTCAAAGAAATGGAAAGATATCCCATGCTCTTGGATTGGAAGAATTAATATTGTTAAAATGGTCATAGTATCCAAGGCAATCTACAGATTTAATGTGATCCCTATCAAATTATCCATCACATTTTTCACAGAACTAGAATAATCCTAAAATTTATATAGAACCACAGAAGACCCAGTATTGCCAAAGCAATCCTCACAAAAGAACAAAGCTGGAGACATAAGCCTCCTAGACTTAAGATAATACTACAAAGCTACAATAATCAAAACAGCATAGTATTGGCACAGAAACAGACATATGGATCCATGGAACAAAAGACAGAACCCAGAAATAAACCCACACACCAACAGTCAATTAATCTTTGACAAAGGAGGCAAGAACGTACAATGGTGAAAAGACAGTCTCTTCAACAAGTGGTGTTGGGAAAGCTGGACAATCTCATGTAAATCAATGAAATTAGAACACTTCCTCACACCATATAAAAAGATAAGCTCAAAGTGGTTTGAAGATCTAAATATAAGACATGACACCATAAAACTCCTAGGAGAGAACATAGGCAAAACATTCTTGGATGTAAATCATAGCAATATTTTCTTAGGTCTGTCTGCCAAGGCAAAAGAAACAAAAGCAAAAATTAACAAATGGGACCTAATCAAACTCAAAAGCTTTTGCACAGCAGGGAAGCCATAAACAAAATGAAAAGACAACCTACAGAATGGGTGAAAATATTTGCAAATGATGTAATGCAGGGTTAATTTCAGAAATATCCAAACAGTTCATACACCTCACTATCAAACAAACAACCCAATTAAAAAATGGGCAGAAGACCTAAATAGACACTTTTCCAAAGAAGACATACAGATGGCCAACAGTCACATGAAAAGATGCTCAGTATCACTAATTATTAGAGAAATGCAAATCAAAACTACAATGAGATCACCTCACACCAGTCAGAATGGTTATCATCAAAAAGTTTACAAATAATAAATGGGAGAGGGTATGAAGAAAAGGGAACCCTCCTAAACTGTTGGTAGGCATGTAAATTGGTACAGCCACTATGGAAAACAGTCTGGAGGTTCCTTAAAAAACTAAAAGTAGAGCTACCATATGATCCAGCAATCCCACTCCTGGGCATATATCCAGAAAAGATGAAAACTCTAATTCAAAAAGATATATGTACCCCAATGTCCATAGCAGCAGCTTATAATAGCCAAGACATGGAAGCAATCTAAGTATCCATCAACAGATGAATGGGTAAAGAAGATGTGGTGTGTGTGTGTGTGTGTGTGTGTGTGTGTGTGTGTGTGTATACACACACACAATGGAATATTACTCAGCCATAAAAAGAATGCAATATTGCCATTTGCAGCAACATGGATGGACCTAGAGATTATCATACTAAGTGAAGTCAGACAGAGACAAATATATGATATCACTTATATGTAGAATCTAAAAAATAATACAAATGAATTTATTTACAAAACAGAAACAGACTCACAGACATAGAAAATAAACTTATGGTTACCAAAAGGGAAAGGGAGGAGAGGGATAAATTAGGAGTATGGGATTAACAGATACACACTAATATAAATAAAATAGATAAAATAACATGGATTTACTATATAACACAGGGAAATATATTCAATATCTTTTAATAACCTATGATGAAAAAGAATCTGTAAAATATATACATACATATGAAAAACTGAATCACTTTGCTGTACACCTGAAACTAATACATTATTGTAAATCAACTATACTTCAGTAAACTTTTTAAAAATAAATTTAAAAAATTAAAAAGCTGAACAAACATAAAATGAACAACTCTTAGATCTATCAAAGAATTGATGTCCCAGGGCAAACTGCTGCCCTGAAAAAAGGAGCAAAATCAAAACCTACCACAAACAACCCAACAAAAATAAAACATATTTCTCCTTACTTCTTATCACATATAATGTGATATAAGAAATATAATTGAATATATCACATTCCATCATCAGAAGACAGATATGGCACACAAAATGGAATCATAAACCTCACTTACTTTTAAAAGGTATTACTGAAAAACATGGATCTAGACAAGAACATTTACAATCACTGCTTCCACTGGAAGTAGTAGCCAATAAACAAGAAAAATAAATTAAAAAGCCATAATGGCTGTAAAGAAAGAAGCAAAACGATCATTAATAAACTATCATTATTTATAGTTATAAAAAAACTCTAAAAGAGTCTATAGATAAATTATTTTAAATAATGTAAGTTTAGCAACATAGCTGGTTATAAGATAAAAATAGAGAAATAAATTAATTTCTATTTTCCAGCAACAAAAGATAAAATTTTTAATTTAAAAAGATATCTAAGAATACATTAAAAGGATCATATACCATGACTAAGGGGGATTTGTCCCAGGGATGAAAGGATTTTTTGGTATCTGCAAATCAATCAATGAAACACACAACATTAACAAACTGAAGAATAAAAACCATATGATCATCTCAATAGAGGCACAAAAAGCTTCTCACAAAATTCAAGATCCATCTATGATAAAAACTCTTCAAAATGTGGGCACAGAGGAAACATACCTCAACATAATAAAGATGCCA